CAATTTTTTAGATCATAAAGCATTTGCTCAAATTATTTCAAAGATGAAAAGCTTTAAATAGATCAAGATTGTGGGAAGGTTTTAATGTTATTTATTTTAAAACCCTACAAATCTTCATTGCAAAGGTGATTACATTCTAGTGGCATCTTAAGCACGTCAGTTAATTGTTTATTCTTACTCCAGAAAAATACTATTTTTGTCTCAAGTTTCTACGTAACTACTTGCAGTGAATTGGTAAGAGTAAAGCTGTTTAATGTCATGAAAAGAAACTGGTGATAAAATTTTAAATTCTGCTTATTAACCTCTTCGGCTTTGATCATATGAAATAAAGTTTAAGTATATAACTATTAAAAAAAAAAGTGCAATCCATACTGCAATAAGTATTTTAAGTCCTCTTCACTTTCAGCAAGCAAGATTGTATAATTTGCATATTGTATAATTTGCGTTTGTTAATAAATCTTCCTCCAGTCCTGTTGCCACTCTTCTTCAAATAATCCAGCTCTTGGATTGCTTGCTCCGCATGGAGATTGAATATCTATGGTGAAAAAATACAGCCCTAGCACATACCTTTCCCAATTTTAAACCATTCAGTATCCTCTTGTTCTAACAGTTGATTCTTGGTTTATGTAGAAGTTCTTCATGAGCACAATTAAGTGTTCTTTGCAATGTTATCCATATTTTGTCATGATCCATACAGTGAAAAGCCTTTTCATAGTCAATAAAACACAAGTAGACATCTTTCTGGTATTCTGTGCTTTCAGCCAAGATCCATTTGAAGTCAGCAATGATATTCCTAGTTTCATATCCTCTTCTGAATCTGTCTGGTAGTTCCCTGTTGACTTACTGGTGCAGCCATTTTAAAATTTTACACACACGTGATACTAATTTAAAATTTTACACACACGTGATATTAATGATATTGTCCTGTGGTTTCTGCATTCCATTGGGTCACCTCTCTTTGGAATGGGCACAAATTTGAATGTCTTTTAGTCGGTCGGCCAGGTATCTGTCTTCCAAATTCCTTAGCATAGATGAGTGAGTATCTCCAGTGTTGCATCAGTTTGTTGGACGATTTCAATTTGCATTCCATCAATTCCTGGATCCTTGTTTTTTATGCCAGTACCTTCAATGTAGCTTGACTTTTTCCCTTTAGCACCAATGGTTCTTGATCCTTTGCTACCTCTTAAAATGACTGAACATTGATCATTTCTTTTTGGTACAGTGACTCTGTGTACCTTCCATCTTCTTTTGATGCTTTCTGCATCATTCAGTATTTTTCTCATGGAGTATTGCAAGTTGAGGCTTGAATTACTTTTTCCATTCTTTCCACTTGAGAAATGTTTTTTTATTTTTACAAGAACACGCTGAATGTGTTCTTCCTTTTGATTTTCTGACTCCAGGTGTTTGCACCTTTCCTTATAATACTTGACTTTGTCTTCTCAAACTGCCCTTTGAAATTTTCTGTTTAGCTCTTTTACTTCCTCATTTCTTCCATTCTCATTAGCATAATATCTCTGTGCTGAAGAAGTTTCACAGTCTTTTCTGAGTGCCATTTTTGTCTTTTCTGTCTTTCCTGTGTTTTAAATGACCTTTTGCTGACGTCTGTATAATGTTTTAGACGACATCCCACAGCTCTTCTTGTCTTATGTCAGTTCTTGAGATGGTCTCTAAATTCAGGTGGGGTATACTCAC